AGGGGGAGGTCACTCTTGTCGGCCGGGCCCTCACCGGGCCTCGGGGCCGCGAACACATGATTCAGGACGAGAGCGGCGCCAGGGAAGGGGTCGAGACCTCTGGGGGTCGACGTTATGAAAGAAAAATGATATCGGGGTCTGGGAAGAGGAGAAAACGCAAGGGCAGGAGAGGCGGCAGCAGCAGGAGCAGCGGCAGCAGCAGCAGGAGCAGGGAGAGGAGGAGGAAAAAGGGGAGAAGGAAGACTCTCCTCCTCCTCCCCCATCCTCCTCCTCCTCCTCCTCCTCCTCCTCCTCCTCCTCCTCCTCCTCCTCCTCCTCCCTCCTCCTCCTCTCCTCCTCCTCCTCTTCGATATGAGGCGGAGGATGTCGATGCCCAGCCACGGGAGACAAGAAAGAGCAAAGAAGATTAAGAGAAGGCGGCGTCAGCGGCAAGCGGCTGTCGCTTGCGCTCGAGGCGCGGACCTTAGGACCAAGGGGTCCACGCCAGAGGTGGCGGGATACTGCAGTTAACGCGCGCGACACAGATTGGACGGGACAGAAAAAAGAGGGGGAAAGGCGGTATACCTGCACCCCGCAGCACATGTCACTGACAAAGTCGAGCTGCGCGCTATGCGCGCAGCACCCTTCAGCTACTACGTTTTAGCCTGGGCGTACAGCGGCGGTACCCGTGGTCACGGCAGACATTCACAGGAGGGCCCTTCACCATGCTGCGGTGCCACCCTATGCGGTCTGAGGTGTGCGGGGACAGAGGGCGAGAAGGAAACTGAGTCGTCACGATCGCCGCACACGAGGGGCATGTAGCGCACAGTCCATAGCAATGCCCGTAGCCACATATGGGTCCAGGGGACTGTGGAGCTTTCTGGGTCCCGTAGGTCGTTGCCACCCGTCGCCCACTGTGTCTATACCCAGATGCTGGCACAAGGTCGCATCCTGACGAGCAGTCCAGTTACTAGGTTGGTCCAGGGTTTCGCGAGTGAGCATGCGACTACCCTGGGCAAGGTGGGGGGAACTCAAAAGGGCACTTTCGTGCAGGGTGGCCGCCAGAGATACGAACAAGCCTCTTGGATATATATTGGCCGCAGAGGGGACCCAGGACCCGTCGGCCTCAAGTCCCTGGAAGGCCATGTGCTGGTGACCCCTCGTGCATCGCCCCTTGTGTCTAGTGGATTTGAGCCATGTCGCCATAGCGGGCGCACCTACTGCAAGGAGCGTGGTGTTTTATTTGCTCTGCTCCCACATGCGCACTCATGCGCGGTGTGTGACATTACTCCTTCCTGCCTCACAAGTGAGGCAAGGGCTGGAATGGACCACGCGGAGGGGGCGTCTTTGATCCATGTGCGCTCTGCTGGGTGCTCCATAATCGCTGGTACTCTATGCGGCCATGCAATGTGGTGGAAGCGAATGGTGGTGTGGAGCAGATCATGTCCCAAATCTAATAGCTTCTCGCCCCGTGACATGTCCCAATCCCCATTTGTGCTGAGTGGATCTTGTGGGTCTCGGCGGCTTCCTAGACTCAGGGTTGGGGGCGTGACGTGCCGCTGAACAGCTCTCGGACGGTGGTCCTGCGCGCAAAGCTGCAACCGTGCCTGACCTCAAGAGGTCGATCCAGTTTTCTACGGTTTCGTCGCGTGTGAAATCTCCCCAAACAGGATCATGAGCAAAGTCAATACTGGTGACATGCATGCGAACTCTGGCGTTGCGCCCCATGAGCTCGAAGGCCTCTTGGAAATCACCACCTGCGCGGCCCTGAGAAGAGATGCAGAACAAACGTGACGCACCTAAAAGGGGGGGGTCTTGGCTGCCAGACGGCAGGCGCATCAGGAGAAACAGGGAGCAAGCAATGGATCGCAAGCCGCATGTCTTTGGCCCGCTGCCTCGCGACCTTCTTACCGGGGGCAATGGGGGGGCCGGCGCGCTGGGTAGGGGGCCCGACGGCTTTGGCCTCATGTAGGCCTTTGCTTCTCAAGAGGGACGAGGTAGCTTCGGCATCACCTTGTGCAGCGCATCTCTCCTGTCCTGACGGTCTGTAGCCTGGCTCGATCCATGCGCGAAGGCACGAGGGCGCATTTCGCAAATGCTCAGTTAGTCTGGAGATGGAGCTGAAGTCCTAGAGGAAAACCTAGCAGCGGGTTCCAGTTGAAAGGTGCGCCGGGTTAAAAGGTGACGGGTGGGCCTTGGGAGCGCGGGTCCTGATTGGCCTCTCAGAGGCCGACGTGAAACCACACAAATAACACATCAGTACAGGAAGGTCCTGGGGATCCTGCATCTGCAAGGGTGTTCCCTGGGCCTCTTCACTGACTTGTCTCGTCCAGATCTCGAGCTTATTAAGGTCGCCTGCGAGGGGCAATGCCTTGCGAACGGCGGCGGCGACGCTGGCCTTGCAGGCCTTAGGCTCACCTCTCGCGAGCTGTAGCCAGTGCTCCAGGGCTGCCTGGCCTGGGCGATTGGACGGCCCAGTGCGGCGGTTGAGCCATTGTATATCCCGCTGCGCCATCTTGCC